CCAGGTATCGTAAAGGTAAGGGATCATGCCCATCAAAAGAGAGCAGGAGGGAAAACAAGGTCCAATTATCGAAAAGCCTTATGTTCAAATTGCAATCTTATTTTCCGACATGAAAAATGTGTTAGAGTCGTCCTGCACAATGGAAGTAGGCACGATTTCCACGAGGTAGTGCTGGCTCTGAACAAGTATCCTCATAACGTCGAAATAATACCACACACGGAGGAAAATTACATCAGCATGACGGTCCATCTGGGAAACAGGTTTTCGATCAAGTTCATCGACTCGTTCCGCTTCCTCCCCGCGTCGTTGGATAAACTGGTTCAGACGATCCCGCGCGAATCTTTCGTTCGCACGAGGAAGCTCACCCGCACAGACAATGAGTTCGATATGGTTTGTCGGAAAGCTCCGTTCCCGTACGATTACGTTGACAATCCGGCCAAGCTGAACGAGACGCGTCCACCACCGCGAGAGGCTTTCTTCAACACCCTGACTCAAACGGACATCTCCGAAGAGGAATACGAACGGTTTCTCCAAGTTTGGCAAACTTTCAATTTCCGTAATCTCGGCGAATATTCAGATTTCTACTTGCGACTCGATGTGTGCCTCCTCAGCGATGTGTTCGAGGAGTTCCGACTCTTTGGAATGAAAAACTATGGTTTGGACTGTGCCAACTACTTAACGCTCCCTGGTTTCGCTTTCGTCGCCTTCTTAAAAATAACTAAAGCGAAAATCCAACTCTTCAATGATATGGATATGGTATTCATGATTATGAGCTCGATCCGAGGCGGGATAACACAGGTGGTGAAACGGCACGCTCTCGCGAACAACCCTTTGATACGGGGTCAGTTTGATCCTAAAATACCACTGAGCTATATACAATACTTAGATGTGACGGCACTGTACGCCCATACCATGAGCAAGCATCTACCCTACGATAACTACACTTGGGTCCCGGAAGGAGAAGAGTTGTTAATTCTGGCGAAAACTATAATCAACCATCCCGACGACGCTCCTTTCGGGTTCATACTCGATGTAGATATTGAATATCCAGAACACCTCCACGACCTACACAAGGACCTTCCGTTCTTGTGCAGGAACGAAATACCACCATCGGGAGCGGGGAAATCGACGAACTATTGACGACTCTAGCTAATAAATACAACTATGTTATCCACTATGTAATGTTGAAAGAAGCGCTCGGTCAAGGATTAAAACTCCTGCGCGTCAACCGGGCCATCAAATTCCGTCAGGCACCTTTCTTGGCACCCTTCATCGAGCTGAACGCCCGGTTGAGACGGGACGCTACGAATCCGTTCTACCAAACGCTCCTGAAACTATGCAGCAACGCTTGCTACGGAAAATTTATCGAGAACCCGTTGAAGCGAAAGAATATTAAATTGGGTACAAACAGTAAACAGATATTGAAAGCCATCTCACGGGTCGATTTCATAGATCGCACGATTTTCGACGAAGAATTGGTAGCTATACACTTGAGAAGAACAGAGGTCGTCATAGACAGGCCAATGATAGTTGGTTTTTTAATCTTAGATCTGAGTAAAGTACACATGTATCAATTCCACTATAATCACATGCTTAAGAAGTACGATCCCGACCGAGTTTAACTTCTATATATGGATACGGACTCGTTCATTTACGAGTTGATTACACCGAACGTCTACGATGATATGATGTCAGACCTACACATGTACGACACCTCCAACTTCCTAGAAGGACATCAATGTCGCAGCGCGACGAACCGCAAAGTGATGGGTACTTTTAAAGACGAAACGGCGGGAAGACCCATTATCGAGTTCGTCGCGCTGCGACCGAAAATGTACGCCTATCGATTCAGCGACGGTGAAACGGAGAAAAGAGCAAAAGGGGTATCGACGGGAGCATTAAGATCGCTAAACTTCGAAAACTTCCGGAGCGTATTGCAGGATCCTGAACCGAGGATGAGCGCCCCGATGCGCAGGATCGGGGCGCGGAGATATAAACTATACTCATTTGAAAGTACAAAAAGAACTCTCTCCGGACTAGACGATAAACGTTGTATTTTAAAAGACGGCGTTAACACTGTTCCTTGGGGTCATCGTGACATCAACGATCTTTGCATGGTGGATGAAAGTTGCGGAGCCGAGACCGAGTTGAGAAAAATCCTCGCTGTTGAACGACCTCGTATAAATGGTATAAATAATTCTGGAGAACCGTCAGTTAAGAAACCTCGAATTTGAAAATACTAAAAAGTGTAACTAACGGAACGAGAAGATGATGGCTTGTCTCGATGTACAAGGTTTTTGGAGCCAAGGAAAATTCATCGTCGAAGAGTTTGGTCTTGTGGATATGGAGTGTACTGAAACTGAACTCTATTTATTCAAACCTCCGTTCCCGAGCAGCAAGTTGAGCGCTAAAGATGTTGTGACAAACAACTGGTTAACACGCAATCATCATCACTTGGAATGGGAAAGCGGGTTTCTCGAGTACGGTGAATTCACTTCAAAAATGAATCGCATCGGGAACCACTACGATGTACTATATGTTAAAGGTGAACAAAAACGAGATTTCATCAGTCGTTTAGTGCCGGAAAAATGTATCGTTGTAAATTTGGACTCTAAAGATTGCCCGTCCTTGCGACTATTGGCTCGTCGGTCGACAGCATATCGACGGTGAAACTACCAAACCACGTATCTCGTTTGCGGTGTTTAAAAATCTACGCTCACATTTTATTTTTTTGAAGTAGACCAAATCGATATCATTCCTTGAAATTTTCGCGGAATTTTCTCCGCACAAAGAAGAAAAATCACAGAAATTTTCAAGACTGGATGTTAAGTAGTTTTTCATTTAAAAAATAAAGTATGACAGGAAGTCTGCGACGTCGCAAACCGAGATACGTGGTTTGGTAGTTTCACCGTCGATATACGTGTCCTTTAGTACATCCATTCTGCGCTATGTCGAACGCATTCCGATCGTGTATGTGGTTGTCGGAATCCTCTTATCGTGATTATTTCAAAACTGAAATCATGCAGGAGCAGCAGAAGATTATAGTGGCAGACGAACAAAGGAATCACCCCGAAAATAATATAGGAGTGGGAAATAAGTCAGATTGAACGAACCGAAATATAGCAGACGAAAAGTGAAATCATCCGTGCTTAATATAGCAGACAAATTATCGAATCAACCCGACTTAATATATAGCACACGAAAAGTGGAATCATCCGCAGACGAAATATCGAACCGAAATATAGCAGTCGAAAATAATTGAAATCATCCGTGCTTAATATAGCAGACAACTTGTGTCACTCGAAATATATAGCACACGAAAATTGGAATCATCCGTACCTTGATATACAGCAGATAGAACTGACGACATGGACGTTTTCAACAATTCAGTCGTGATCGTCAACGCTAAAGAGCTGACTGTAAACGCCCGCTACAAGATGAACAAACTCATCAAAATGCCATCCAAGTACGGGATAACCGTTGCCGCTGATATCGTCTTCGATGATCATCATCGTCTCCTCTTCCTACCCTCGCACATTGCGGACCGTTTGACGGACGATGCAATTCAGGATATTAACGCTGGATCCTTCGATCTGATCTACGAAGGCCCGATCGGAAGAACACACAAATTCACACTCGTTCCAAACGTTGCAGCTTGATTTATATTGTACGTCATGCTTGTATTCCTTTCTAAATGATGTAATGCTTGAAAAAAAAAAAAATAACATGCTTGTAAAAAAAAGTGAAAAAATAAACATGTTATTTTTTTTTAAAATTTTTGCTTAAGATCAATCAAATTTCCTCACGGTTCCGTGCAGTAGTTCGTACGAATACTTCACAGGTGTGATCAGAATCACTTGGGCTGTAGTGTTGGCCGGGAAATTCTCTTTTACCACAACGGTCAACGTGATATCCACCGGAGCTGTTTTTAAATCTTCACCTTGAACGCATTTGATGACAAAAATCGCGCGATCTTTGAAATGTTCATACAACATAGCTGGCTCGCAGAGTTTCTCACCTTTTCAGTAGTCTCTCATAAAATCGGTGTAGTGCAGATAGGCGTAATGATAATCCATACTCGAGAATTCGTAGATCGTGTCAATTTGAGGAAACCGACGCTCACCGATTTGAACGCTGACCGAGCGCACATTTACATTGTCGAAAAGAGAGGAATCCTTCAGGTGATTGTCTCGTCGATCCGTTTGAAATACCAACACCACGAATTTGGGCTTGTGCCTGCTGGTTGTTCTTACGCTCCATTTGAACGTCTTGGTCGGAAAAATCCCCGGGATGTCGTGCGATTCCCAATTCATGTAACCGAAACTCATCTTGTCATTCTTCTTCATCTTGAGCAAGATTTGTTTTTCCAGTTCCAATGTGAATTTGACGATGGGAATCTCCCAATAAATTTCGACTATTTTAAAGTTGATGGTGTAACCGTCCGCGGTCGCCGCGTCGGTGATATAATATGCGTTCTTATCCGTACCACTGCGCACTAGGATCAACTCTTTCGAGCATCTGACTAGAACGTCTTTGAAATGTACCGCGAATCCGCTGAGTGTAGACAACGGTACGATAGCGGAGAAAGTTTGATTCGCCGTTGTGTAATCCCATTCGGTCCATGAATGAGCGATGTCACAAAACCCGGCAGTTGCGAGTCCCGCGGTTTCCGCTCTAGTGTATGTGAGATAATTTTTCACGGTCGATGTCACTCCGACAGACTGCATGCTATCGACTTCCGTCCCGTTCACTTTATACTGCATACGGTCGAACATTTACTGGATATAATTGTTAGCCAACTTGAATGGAGATTTTGTAGCATCTGCGGCGGCTCCAGGATTTTTCGCGAGTTTCATAGGTGGGATGCGCAAACCTTGTTGACTTCCCTGACCCCCCTGAATATCAGTGCCAAAGAGTAGCCGATAGATTATATCGTATGCATTATTTTCATACGCCTCGAGCCTTAATCAACTTAATTATCAATCCTCTCCTTCTTTCAGGTACATGTGTTTCATGTCGTTTTTCCACTTTTCGGAATTTTTGGCAATTGCTGCAACGGATCATGGAAATTTGTCCGTCAAGTCATTCATTTTGAATCATAGTCCAGCATACAATATTGCTGCCGTCACTAGTTGGGTTGAATTTTTTACTGAGTGGTACTTTTGGCCTGGTAAGCACCTTTCTAAATTTTCGTTCTCTTTTGTTAATTTACCTAAACGTTAATAGCCAGTTTTCTAAAAATATATCAATAGGTAACTATGGGAAGCTGAGGAGGGCATTAGAGAGTAGGGTAAACATTTTAAAAGGAAGTGGGTAAATTAATGGAGGAAAGATTAGCTTAGGATAAACATTCACAAGATTGGTTTGACTCTCCATTCCTGATTCAAGAAGGGTTTAGATCACCTGCTTTACAGGTGTTACAGTCTAAAGTTGCGGTAATTAACCGCAGCTAAATGATGAGTTTCGATTAATTTTAAGCATTAAAGAAACCTTACTTTATCAAAAATACCGATTGTTGAGTTAAATAACAACATTGAAATTCACTAAGAAATAACAGGATTATTTTTAATGATATTCTCATGATCATCACCTATCGACAGTACAGAACAGAATGAAACCTGAAATATATTCATCTAACCTAGAAATATTAGTATCAGCTGTTTTTACTTGACATTCTCCCCCTTGAGCCTTGCTCAAAAGGGTTGCTATTAACATCAAAATATTTTAATTAAAACATGTCATTTAATTTATCAGTGATTAGTCAGTATGATCAATTCTTCAGTGGATTGCATTTTCATCTTTGGACTAAAGAAGTGGGCTATTGAGCAAGCCTCTGTCATAACGTCTGAGTTTCAGCACATAGGGGGTAGATGCTCTTGATTCACCAATAGTATGCGCATGTTATCCTATTTCTTGTCGTCATTTTGAAAATGTTCACTTAATTCTTCCTAATTTTTCACTGGGCTATGATCTTGAAGCCATGACGCCAGGGTTAGCGCTGTTAAATTTTGTTTATCCACAGGATTCCCGTCACCTCAAAAGGAGATTCTTCACGACCAAACCTCAATATATAGGGTGATCCAAAAGTCCCTCCTCCCTCTAATTTTTTACCTAATTAAGGTAAAGATTTGAAACTTGGGGTTGTTCCTAGGTCAAAGAGAGCTGCTTTTTTGGGTTTTCTTATAAACCGAAAATTAGTTGTTTTATAAATCTAAGTACAAATGTGTTAATCTTATACAAAATACCCTCAAGTTCCAAGTTTTAGGCAAATCCATCAGCAAAAAACCGAGGTGGCAATTTTCGGTCATTTTAAACTTTAACCGGCGGCCATTTCGGAAATTTCGGTCGTTTTAAAAATCTAAAGTCAAATTTGTTTGTATCGTGTCAAAATACCTTTAGATACTGATTCTCGCGCAAATCTTTCGACAAGCAACCGGTGTGAATTTTCGGCCATTTTGAACTTTAACCGGCCGCCATTTTGAAACGGATTGAGATATTGGCCTCGGGTTTGCGCGAAAAGTTTTCGTTCATTATGCTCTTTTGAATGAGCCATCACAAAAGGGGTCTTCCTATTTGAAAATTAAAAGTAAGGGTCCGTTGCCCCCCCAAGGGGGGCCCCCTTGGAAATTTTAGGGGGGCCAAAAAGTAGCTCCCTTTGACCTAGGAACATCCCCCAAGTTTCAAATCTTTACCTCAATTAGGTAAAAAGTTAGAGAGGGTGGAAGGGACTTTTAGATCACCCTGTATTTGATGACCCGGAACGCAATGAAGTGAACCTCAGGGACATTTTCATTTCATGAAGCTCATCATTTACAGTGAATACTGCCTCATTAAAAACCTTAACCGCATGATAAACCATTGGACAAAAACATTGACAAGGGGAAAAGAGTGCAGTGTACGATTCTAACACGATATTGAGAGTCTAGGTCCGTTTTCGTTGAATTCAGTTGATCAAAGTTTGATCAACTGAACGATGATTTTTGCGTCATAATCTTTTTGTTCGTTTTCATCTCCTTCCTCTGCTTCCTCTTTTCTTCCATTCTATACCGAGAACCTTCACGTCTCCTCCTGTGTTAGAATACATAACGCTTTTGAAAGGTTTTGAGACTCTTTAAGAAAACTGTAGATATTCGAAGCCCATTTCCGCAGGCCATTAGGTGTCAAGATTTTTTCAACCTCTAACTTTAATATTTTGTCTTCATTTACATTTGGACCGAGTCCATCAGAAAGGAACCAATCGACTTTACGTTGAAACTGAGAAAAAGAGGTTTGAGGTTTTATTCCTGCATAAGGCTCAACATAAAAAATAAACTCTAACCCCTCCTTTCACCATAAAGAAGTTTGTTTTTAGACTTCCAGTTTTTGGCAGGAGAAAATATATGGCTAGCGGAACTCCAAAATATTGTTAACTCAATTTTTTAAAAAATGTGGGTCGGTTCCTTTCTGATGAAGTCGGTTCATTTATTCCTCCCCCTAAAAATCATTCAGGTTTAAAGAGGACAAATTGCTTTCTGCTATTCTTGAAAAGTTACGTGACGGCGGGAAAAGACAAGTAATGGACTTCGGACGTTTCCGCATACTTTGAGGTCGCCCACCAAGAAATGTGTTCAGGATTGCCTAGGATGCATGAAATCGATTGTGATTATATAGAGTAGGGTGAAATTATTCATCTTTAGAGAGTCTTGAATGAGAATTCAAATTTGCCCCCTCGACAAATCATAGGAACCCTCCAAATCCCCCCCCTCCCAATCGAAAAAACAGTAAAAAAATCGGCTATTTTCTCTCGTTGTTCTGTTACCAGCTCACGTTACGAGAGCAGAACTTTTTTCCTTATCTAACTTCTCATCTATAGACCAGCTCACGTTCCAAAAGAAGAACTTTTTTCCTTATCTAATTTCTCATCTATAGAGGGTCCTAAACAAGAATCCAAATTTGCCCCCTTGACAAGTCATGGGAACTCCTCCGAAAACCCCTCCAAAATCGAAAAAACTGACAAAAAGCGGTTATTTTCTCTTGTTGTGCTACTGTCGCACGTTTTGAGAGCAGAACTTTTTTTCTCACCTGGGTTCTCATCTGTAGAGGGTCCTAAACGGGAATTCAAATATTCCCCCTCGACAAATTATGGGAACCCCTCCAATCCCCCCGCCCCCCACCTAAAATCGAAAAAACGGTCAAACATCAGTTATGTTCTCTAGTTTTTCGGCTATCATTGCAAAAACCTTTGCATTTATGACTATATATGTGGATCTCACTTGAAAGCAGATAATGTTTTGGTCATTTTTAACATGACCTGAAATTTTTCTCATGAAAATTGAGCTCACATTAGGGTCCTCAAAGAAAACCCAAAATTTTCAAAATTTCGTTTTGTAATGGTTTTTTGCTTGTAATTGTAAATTGCTCTCCCATTAATATTACGACTCTATGTACTCTATGACGAGTATTAGTATCAGCTATTTTGACTTTGACACTGAACATGCATTAGATTGCTTTACAACTAGGGCCAGAAGAATGATTTTTATGTCTGAATTACGAAACTTTCCTAAGTAAGACTGCCTAGGTCAACTACTCAGAATGATGAAATCTCCTTTCTTCAAAGTTACCATTCCTTATTTACGATTATCATCAGTGGCAATCAATAAAACAACTTTCAGAACTTTTTAAAGTTATATAATTTTTCAGGATTAAAACTGATCCGTAGCGCGAGTTACATAGGGATCTTGATGTGCATTGGAGGAGAAGCCCTTCGAAAAGCAGCAATCTTCACAGCAGCGAAGAACTTTAATCATATTATCCAGTCCGAAAAGAAGGACGATCATGTTCTTGTCACTCATGGTGTTTACAGTCTATGCAGACATCCCAGTTATGTTGGTTGGTTTTACTGGTCCATAGGCACCCAGGTAAGTTATCATACTTTTCTACAAATTGTTTTACCTTCATGTACGGTTGAAAACTCTTTAGGTGGAAGAAAGTGCTGCCAAATAAAAATTAGGAATGACGTTTCCCCCATAAAGCACTAATATTCTTCAAGTAAACTCCATGCTATGCTTTTAATTTTTTCCTCTGTAATAATATTAAAGTATCTTTGGAAGTATAAATAAAGCCATTCACTTTTAAGTGAAAAACTAATTTTGAGAAAATTGCATTTGAAGCTCTAATTATTACTGAGGACCATGTCCCAAGAATGTATCCTTTTTAGCAAAAAGCTCTTCCTAATAGTGTAACTCCTACACCTACTGTGCAGTGTTTTTTGTCTCTTGAACATTTTCTAGTTTAAGTCTCTTCATTCTCACTGATTCAGTTATTATATGTAGAATTTGACGGATGTTATGTCTTCCCTTGAAAGAATCTTCAGAAAAGATGTATAAATGCCATGATATAAACTTTTTCGCCTTTAAGAGGGTGAGTTTTGAGTGGTTCCGTCTACAAACTTTTTGTAAGAAGAGACATAGGTGATTTGCGAAAGGAACATGCATCATTATTTCTTGACGTAAAAGGTGTAGGAAAAGCGAAGAATCACTTTTCAGCACTTTACGTTAAAAGAGTGGAAGTGATGGTAGTGTAAGCGAATTTTATCAAGAGGTTCGGTACTACTTTTGAGCCCGAGCCTCTGAGCTGTCATTCTATTTGAGTTCGAATTTCCAGTTCGGTGACTAACGAATCGCAACGTTGGTGCGTGATTTTGGGACAACCTCGCGAGGTGGTTCTAAAAAAAGTTCGACCTATCGAAAACTAAAGGATCTGATTGGTCGAATTTGGTAACAACGGTGCCCACTGGTGTTAGTGATGAGACAAACTGGGACAGAACTTCCCAAAGAGGTTCGGAACACTGAATAAAATTCGCTTTGTGCCAGACACCTTTAAATCCTCAAAAATCCATCATCGTGACTGTAGGTAGCCATGCTCCTCCAATACCCTGTCTTGTCCCTCACAGGCAACAGGGTAGGGGAGGGACACGGCTTTCTGTTATTGGTAGGTTGACATTGTTCGGCCACAGAATGTACAAGCTTATACGTTCCTATACATAGCCACTATCCTCTGTAATTTGGCCAAGTTGTGATTGAATCATAGAAGCCTTTAAAGCGTCTTAATGGGAAGCTTTTTCTTATGGTAATTTCCTTACCTACTGTGCAGTTTTTTTGTGTCCTGAACATTTTCATTTTTCCGAGTCGGTCTTGTTTTCAAGGAGTGTTTTCATTTGCAAGGATTTAATTGATGAAGCAGGTGCAAGAAGACCCTTCGCTTAATGGTGCTTTTAGGCACTTATGTTCACAAGTTTCATTTGAATTGCTCTCAACATACCAAACTCATCAAATCAAGATGCGATATTAAAGATGTGATATTGATGAAAGCAGTTTGAAAAATAAATTTATAATAGTTAATTCCAAAATTGTGGTTTAGTGACTTTAAACCCGCCAATGGTTTCTTTTCTTTCTTTTTTTTTTTTCTTAAATTTATACGTAGATGTCCTTTTTTTTCAGTTCGTTCTTGTTAATCCTGTCTGCACAGTTGGTTATGCCATTGCTAGCTGGGTTTTTTTCAACAATCGAGTAGCAACTGAGGAAGTGACCTTGTTAAACTTTTTTGGCAGCGATTATATCGACTATCAGAAGAAAGTTGGAACCGGCCTCCCGTTTATCTCTGGTGTCCGAATCGATTTGCCTCAAAATCCATCCTCATGACATCGAACGTAAAGTGGTGTATACCAGTCAGTGCACTATGGTTATTTCATCTGATCAATGCAATCTTGCTGATGATGCCAGACGGATTTGAAGTTGGATGTTGGTATTGTCTTTGAAAAGTTTTCTTGTTGTAGAAATTCTTTCATTCTCTACAAATTCTGAACATAACTCTGCTGTAATTTCCTACAAGTGAACTTGTTCAGCAACTTGATCTCCAGTATTCTCAGCTGACTTTCCCAAATACGAGTTAGTTGACGGCTACTGTAACTCCTTTTGCCTCTTCCTCTGTACAGAACTGTAAGCAGAGGACAGTTGGATAGTTTTTAGCAAAAAGGAACTAGCACAATTACAGTGTTGTAAAAATGATTGTTGCCTCTTCATAAGTTTCACAAAATCTCTCCCAGAATAGCAAATAGTCTTTGCTTCCCACCCAAAAATTGTTGATCTAAAAGGAAACTAATTGTGTAAAAATACTATACATATATTTAAATTGGTTATTTTCGAAAGAAAGGAAGTTGCACGATTTTGAAAACACTGATGAGGCCGGTTCCTTTTTGCTAAATGCAATCCAGTTGAGACCACTCATGTCTCGGTTAAAATTGCACGGATACTTAAAAATTGAGATATTCTTCCACAAGGTTAAATCTTGTGGAATGTTGATTTCCTTGAAAAAAGAAGAAGTTCAGTTGATATTGTCCTTTTTATACCTACATGTGCCAAAACTGCTGAACTTCTTATTTCTTTGTTCCTTGCATAATTATCATGCTCTTTGCCTCTACTTTTTAAGAACCTTTTCATTTAGTTACTGCACATTCTTTTCTGCATATAAGAAGTCAATTTTATAGATGCCTGTATTCTCTTGGTTGTTGTCAATAATGTTTTTTCCGCTATTTTTGCTGGAATGTTTGACAATGTTTAATTTGTTGAAGGTCATGGTAATGGCATTTTCTTTTAGAAGCTTAGTCTAAGAATCTCATTAAAGAAGTGGTCTCTTTTTCATCCCATTTTTTATGCAATAAAGGCGTGGCCTTATGGGTTTTTCTTTTATTTTGCCAACAATACATAAATGATAATAAAAATCTAGCTAAAAAACAGGGAAAGTACACTTAAATTAAGAATAAAATCACTGAAATTTAAAAACTCAATCCTCCTTTACTTAATTATTTGTACGGACGACGTTGCAGAGGGTCCGCTGCCCTGCCTCTTCAGTGGGGACAGTGTGACTGCTGGGGGTATTGTTTCGTCTGAGGACATATTTACCAATTTGGACCCAGTTGTTATCAGGTAAATTCCGCTGTGTTGCAGTGTTGTCATAACTGTTCAAGTCGGTTTTTCCAACAAGTTAAATAAATAATAAGGGGTTGTCTATGCCTTCTAAATCGATGTTGAAGAAATAGTTCTTGTTTTTAAAATCAGCATGCGCTCCTCAGTATTGAGATCTTCGTTGCTTCTTACACTTTTCATTAACTTGGGTTCAAAGTTGATGTCGTGGCTGTTTTTCCAGTGATGTTTAGCAACTGCTGACTTTTCAATTTCTTTGTTTTTCTAGGCTTCTTTTGTGCTCAGTGCCCTGTACTTTTATGGCTCTTTTGATTTGGCCCAGGTAAAACTGGCTACAATCTGTGCACTCAATTTTATAGACGTCACTGCTGTCTCCATCAGTGGCTCTGTCTCTAGGTTTAAATCCGGTTGGAATTTTGATTTGAGATTGTGAGGGTTCACTGGGGAATTTACCTGATAACTACTCGGTCCAAATTGGTACTAAATACATCCTGAAACGAAACAATGCCCGCAGCAGTCGCTTTATCGCTGCTAAAGAGGGAGGGCAACAGATCCTCCGAAACGTCGTCCGGACAAATAATTAAGTAAGAAAATATTGACCTTTTACACAGTGATTTTATTCTAAATACATAAATGCAGACGATGAATACAAGTTAAAAAAAAAGACAGGATTCAATAACATTTTGAAGAGAATTGTGGGAAGTTTGACGCGTGGGGGATGTATTGAAAAGGTGTTAGGTTCCAGAGAGGAAACTGAGGTGGCGGACAGGCTGGTTTTCAGAGTGCTCCCGTCTTCTTAATCTGTCGCAGTAATACGGCTGATTCGTTGCCTATCGGTCTGTTCCTGTTCTTTTTTAGTTTCATTTTTATTGGAGACCTTTTAACTCATGAAGGAGAAATTTTAAATGAATTGCCTCTTTAGCAGCTAAAGTTAGTGCAATGTATTCAGCTTCTGTGCTTGAGAGGGATGTGGTTTTTTGTTTTTGACATTCCCACGAAATTGCACAGTCGCTATAAGTGAAAACATTACCAGAGAAGGATTTCCTTTGAGGACAATTATTGGCCCAATCAGAGTCTGAGTAACCAATAAGATCATGATCTGACTTTTTATAAGTTAAAGACAGATTAGAAGTACCTTTTAAGTATCTTAAAATACGTTGAGCACAAGTCCAGTGTTGTTGCGTTGGTTTTCTGTTAAATTGGCTTAAGAACGTAACAGGATAAAGAATATCTGGACGTGAGGTAATAGCTAAGTAAAGTAAACTACCTATCAACTGTTGATATGGTTTCTCTAGATCTGGGCGTACAGGAATATCTTCGTCAAATTTTGTATCAATAAGAGGAGTTGAAACTGGCTTACAATTTAACATTTGAAATTTATTAAGAAGATTATTGATGTACTTTGTGTGATTAAGCTTGATTTCACCTCTCTTTCGATTCCTCTGAACCTCGAGACCTAAACAATTGGTAATCGAACCTAGATCTTTAATCTGGAATGAGTTTTTCAAAATTGTTTTAAGTTTGTTTACTTCATCTACATTATTGTGAAAGATTTAGAAATCATCAACATATAATGCAATAATAATGATAGTATTGTTGATCTTTTTGTGATAAATGCAGGGTTCAAATTTGGATTGTTTAAAACCATTATGAATGAAGAATGAATGAGCTTTTTCATTAAATACTCTAGAACTTTGTTTTAGGCCATACATTGCTTTTTTCAATTGGAGAACTTTATTTTTGTCTTTTTTGTTCAGGTGAAAACATTCTGGAGGTTCTACAAAAATAGTCTCTTTTAAATCACCAGACAAAAAAGCAGTATCAACATCTAAGTGTTCTATATCTAAATCAAATTTAGCAGCTAATGCAAACAAAAGGCGCAAATTTGAGTATCTTATTACAGGTGAAAAAGTCTCTTGATAATCAATGTTGTATTGTTGAGTAAAACCTTTTGCGACAAGACGGGCTTTAAAAGTATTTGTATTGTTTTTTGAATTTGTTTTAATTTTAAAAACCCATTTAGTATGAATTGGTTTGATATTAGGAGTTCTTTCAACTAGTTTCCAAACATTGTTATCTTTAAAGGATTTTAATTCTTTGTTTATTGCTGCTGTCCATAGTTTTTTATCAGGACTTTGCAAAGCTTCTGTTACAGTTTGTGGAGGAGGATTTTCACTTACAATAGGATTATCTATATTACTTACAGCTAATAACATATGGTAATCATGAGTCCACTTTGGAGGTTGTGTAGGTCGGTTGCTTTTTCTTTCATCTTGTGTTGAATTTGACGGACATTCAGGTGGAAGATTTTCTGTGTCACGATCATTTTCGAACAGTTCAGGAATCATTTGTTGCAGGATTGTTTCATCAATGTCAGGTGACGTCTGAGATGAGTCGGTACTTGAGGAAGAGTTTGCACTTTCGAACAAGGTGTCATCTTCATCGAAGTGGGGTTCATCATGGGTTGCTCATTCTTCTGACGTTTCATCTGAAAGTGAAGAATTCGACGGTGCTTTTAAAGCATCAGCTTCACAACTGGATGAAGGATGAGGTTGATGAATTTCTTGTACAGCAAGTGGTTGATTAGTGGTAGTGGAAGGTATTTGTGGAAATACCTGCACATTATCAGTTGCTGATTCTGCAGTAATTGGTTTTTCCTGTTTAAAGGAGAAGGGAGTTTCATCAAAGATGACATCTCTAGATTTGATGACGACTGTAGGTTTAGTTGGATCCATTAGTCGATAAGCTTTTGAGTTTTCGAAAATACCGACGAACAACATTCGTTTGCTTTCTGGTTCGAGCTTTTTGCGTTTTTCTTTCGGAATATGCATAAAGGCTACGCATCCAAAAATACGCAGATTGCTTAGATCTACCGGTTTGTTATTCCACATGGTTTCGGGAACAAAATTTTTGATTGCTCTAGAAGGAGACCTATTTTTCAAATAAACGGCATAATTAACTGCTTCTGCCCAGTAAGTAGACGGTAGTCTAGCATCCACTAGCATACACCGGACTTTGTCAAGGATAATTCCGTTGACACGTTCAGCTACACCATTCTGTTGAGGAGTATAGCTGGCAGATGTTTGATGTTTAATGCCATTTTCGTTGAAAAAATTTTGAAATTTTGAATTTTCATATTCTTTTCCGTTATCGGATCGAAGGCATTTGATTTTACTATCAGTTTCATTTTCTACAAGTGCTTTAAAGTGAAGGAATTTGGAGAAAGTATCACTTTTTGACTTTAAGAAATAGACAAACGTTTTACGTGGTCTGTCCGGAAAGTATCAGGACTTTTTGATTATCTCGGAATGTAATGCATATAATGAGCTGAAACTTGGGTTAGGCTTTGCCCATGTCCTCTCCCATGCAGCCACACAATCGGGCTTTCACATCTTTAATCAGTCGATTGCAATCAACTGATCAAAGTGTGTATGTCAAGTGCTATCGTCGCGTTTTTTTTTCTTTCGTGAAATGACCGAGCGTGAAGATCAGAGAATTTGTATTAAATTTTACTTTAATCTAGAAAAAACTGCCAAGGAGACCATGGAAATGATTCGGAAAGCTTTTGGCATTGATTCTATGAGCAAGAGCAATATTTATGAGTGGTATAATCGCTTTAAATCGGGTCGTGAAACAGTCGCTAGTGATCCGTGGTCCGGAAGACCTTCGTCGACGAATTCTCCTGATAATGTGGAAAAAGTTCGGGAAGCTATTGCCTAAGACAGTTGGTTAACCATGCGGGAACTGGAATAGCAGCTAAATATCCCGAAGACCGTCGTTGCGGAAATTTTAACTGAAAAACTCGGGCTCCGTAGCGTGGCAGCGAAATTTGAGCCAACGCTCCGGCTCATTCCTCCTGTCTTGTGCAACAGATTTTGGCAAAGCACGGTATTCCTCTGGTTCCACATCCTTCATACAGTCCAGACTTAGAACCCTGCGATTTCTGGCTGTTTCCAAAGCTGAAATCTCCAATGAAAGGGACTCGATTTGACTCCATCAATGACACAAAAGAGAATACGACGAGAGCGCTGAAGGACATCTTAGAGGAGTGCTTTTTGGACTGATTTGAACAGCTCAAAAATCGCTGGAACAAGTGCATTGTGTCTTACGGAGAGTACTTCGAAGGAGATTAAAGCCACAATGTCATGGGTAAGCTCGATTTCTCAAAATCTAAGAAGTCCTGATACTTTCCGGACAGACCACGTACGGCTGAAGTCATCAATAAAGGTGAGTATATACCTGGCACCATTATGAGACGGCGTTGACTGCGGGCCACAAAGGTCACTATGAACAATTTCTAGTTTCGAAGTTGCACGTTAATTTGACTTTCGGAATGGTAAGCGCTTTTGCTTCCCTAAGATGCATTCTTCACAGGGTTGAAGAGGTGTTGAGGATTCTGCAAAAGTGACGCCTGAAACCAAACCATTTTTCAGCAAAGTCATAGACCTGAAATTGAGATGTCCAAGTCTTTTATGCCATAAAATTTGATTATTTAGTTTGACAGCCGTGTTGGCAATATTTGAAGGATCAACTGAATTTGAAGTGTTTAGTGAGAGAACTGAATTCAGTGACTGAGGATTTTGTATGTTCAAACGATAAATACCATTAAAAAGTGAAGCAGTAGCTACAACATCATTATCTTCATCTAGAATATCAGCAGAATTTTCCTTAAAGACAATTTTGTAATTGCATGAAGTACATTTGCTAACAGATAGAAGATTGACTGAAAGTTTTGGGACGTAGAGAACATCTTTAATAGAGGTTGG